CTTAGTACTCTACATTTTAAAGTATCAGGATTTATGCTTGAGTTGCCAGTGCCAGATATATTGATTATACAGAGAGAGAAAATAAGGTTGTACAGGTTGTGTTAGTGAATCAAATGATTCACAATTCAGAAGAAAACCATAAATAAAAGTATTATATTAAAAAAAATCTGCATGAGGATATAAAATAGTTTCATCAAGAAACTACTTTCAAGGGCCATGTTACAATAAAGAAATCTCATTTTGGAGCACTTGATTGTAAATTACTATAAACTGCTGCTCCCAACCACAACTGTGAGTGCAAAATATTTGTTTCTTGGAGCACAGGGCACTTCTGCTGTCTTACAAAAGATTCTGCAGCTAAGCACACTTGGACTGCCCCGCATCACACTCGGAGGAGGGCTGGTACCATTTTTGATCAAGATTTTCAAAGTGCCTAGTGGTGTGATCCGGGTCCATCCCCAAGTTCCCAAGCAGAGCTGTAGACATGGGGAATAGTTTTCAGGAACCCTGGGAAATGCAGCCTGCCCGAGCACCGCCAGCTCTGCTGCTCTGTTGGATTATTTCAGGCTGCTCCCCTGGGGTTGGGGTGCTTCTAATGGTTTGTGTGGGGTGGGTGTTACGGCACCACGGAGGCCACACTGCATCAGGCACTGTGTTGGTGACAAAGAAATGCTGGGTCAGCACCCAGAGCCAGGCCTAATGCTGTGGGACAGACCCCACCTGCCTCTTGGGCAGCACTTTTATTCCCATTCCCAGCTCCTCCCTACATCTGACTGGCATTGACATGCACACAAGCAAAATGAATTCAATATCTAATTTGACAAGAAGCCCAGGACCAACTAACCATACTATCAAAACTGGCAACATTTCCTCAGTGTGCCAGCAGAGCAGCCTGGGCACCAGATACCCACTGAACAAAACAAACCAAGTTTGTGCAAAACTCTTCTTCAAAGACCATTGTATAATAGACTCATAGAATCATTAATGTTGGAAAGACCACTAAGATCACCTAATCCAACCACAAACCCATGTCTGTGACTGCTCTAGACCATGTAACTCAGAGCCCCTTCTACCCTTTTCTTGAACACATCTCGAGATAGTGACTCCACCACCTCCCTGGATGATGCCAGTGCATCGCCACTCTTTCTGAGAAGAAATATTTCCTAATATCCAACCTGAACCTCTCCTGGTGGAATGTAAGGCCATTACTTCCCATCCCATCTCTGTTACCTGAAAGAAGATGTGGATGCCCATCTGCTTACAACCTACATTCAAAGAGCTGTAGAGAGTGATAAAGCCTCCCTTCAGCTTCCTCTTCTCCAGACTAAACAATCTCAGGGTGTCAGAAGTGGGATCCTGAGATTGTTTTGTACTATATTGTACTAACCTGGGCTATGTTTGTTCCATATGGGTGTAGAAAGGGCTCCCTGGCAGAACTGAAGAGGTTTGGTGACAGGACCAAGAGGGTGGGTCCCTACAGAGGCACCTCTGTAACTACCCAGCTTTGTGTATAATGTGTTCTGCTGTACCACAGGTGTGGACAGGATCAGTTGCTCTGACCAACCCCATGTGCAGATGAGTAGTTCTTTGGGCTGGGTAGGAGGGTTCCTTCTCACACAGAAAGGGAAGTGGAAGAAGTGATGTACGTAAAAGTACTACCTCTTCCCCTTTTAACCTGTGATCTTTATCCTGGTATCTGCAGTAAGTCATTGAGATAAACTGCATGGTAGTGAGCAGCCCTGACTCATTGTACAACTGCCATCACCTCGTGTGGGTGTACTCCAGGACAAACACCTTCTTTCAGTATGTCTAGACTAGAATAGAAGCTGTGTTTTTAAGACATAAACTAAGGTGGCTTGACTACCGCATTGAGAAACTTTGCATGGACAGGATAAATCAAATGCTTAAAGGTGTTAAAAACTGTTTGCTAAATAATTCTAAAAGCACAACTTTTCTACTTGTCTAGACAATGCCAGAATGTTTTCTAGGGTGACACACCAAGATCATGGAAAGCCTCACTGCTGCAGCCAAGGAGCATGGAGCACAGGCAGATATCAATAAGGAGTTTCTCCACATAGGTTTTCAAAGCAACGACAACAATTGACAAGTGGAGGAACACTCTGAGGCCTCATCTAGGTGATAGGAGCAAAAGATCCTATTTCAGTACATTCAATTTAGTCAGAACCTCTTTTTTCAAAAGCAAAACTTAGAAATAGTCCACTAAGATTGTGTTCTGCTCAGCTGTAGCAGGTCTGGAGTCCCAGCAGGCAATAACAGTCTGCCAATACACGTTATGGACATTGAAATCTATGTGTTGTCGGATGAGATTCTTAGTCCTCAAATAAGCTTGATTGAATTACTTTTGGAAATTGTCCTTTTTCTAAGGCTGATAAGATTCCAGCTCATTTTCCATGCCCATTCAATCCTTGCCCCTGTGCATTTGCCAAAGCTGTACCAATAAAAGCAGAGTTTGATGCTTCTTTACCATCAGTGCTTCCAGCTGGCTGTGAGAACCCACTCATTTCTTACAAGCCACCGGCCATCCATTGGTTTTGCCTCTGCCTTCGCTTTTGGTAAAATTTACTCAGAGAAAGCCTTCAACCTAAGCTACTTCTTTAAACATCTATTTTAAAGTGTGTGGCCAACGTGTGTGCACACATTCATGTTGTAATAATTGTCATCCCCCACCAAGTCAGCAGAAAAGCTCTTAGTCATTCATGTACACCCTTGTTCTGTTGTGCTTCTACAAAGCTGAATGGCGAGTGAACAAGTTAGAGGAACAGTTTCTGGAACTGTCCTGGCATCTTTGACATCCATCTTAAACAACAGCTCAGGAAAATGAATAAATAATAAGACAAAGGAGCAAGGGGGAAAGTCCTTACACAACTGAAGAAGCACAAGTCCAGCCTCTCCAACTGCTTAATGACAGGACTTTTTATACAGAAAAGAAAAAAAAAACTCTATTAGTTCTATTTACCAGTAAGGCTTTATGGCGTGGTTGTGTGTTGGTCAGATAGGAAAAAAAAGCACATTTTGATGAGTCCCATTAGAAATAATGTCTTTCTAACATGGATTAGTACCTGATAATCAGGGAAAAAATGAAAATTAACAAAGCAAATGAAGTGTCTACTGGACAGTAATTCTTGTGTGTAACTCCAAAATGACAGTCCTGGCTTTGCTTGCTTGTTCTCAGTGTTCATTTGCCAATAGCTCTGGAACAATGGATCTGCAGAATGGAGACATTTAAGTTACCATGAGGAGTCTTTTTAATAATTGTGTCAAGTTCTTTTGTCCTTCAGGTGCACTACCTGAAATATTTCAGAAACGTAGATTGATTTCCTGATGTAAATAAGGCCTGGAGCCAATAAAACCCGTGAGTCGGGAAAGGCTGAGGCTCTGCAGTCAGCACAGGCTCTGCAGTAAGCACCCGCTGTCACCGGCAGTCCTGGGCTTTCTGTCTCATGGAGCTCAAACGGAGAGTACTCGAGGCTCTCCGGGGGACCACGACCGGGTGTCCCACTCGTGTCCCGGATCCGGAGCTTTGGGGTCGGGTCCCACCCGCAGCTCCCGCAGCTCCCGCAGCTCCCGCGGCCCCAAATTCCGGCAGTCCACGCGTGTGCCCGTACCGAGCGGCCGAGGCCCCGCACCTGGAAGCCGCTGTTTAAGGAGTCAAAGTACATCGGCAGCCGGGTCGATAGCCTATTAGGCTAGAAAGAGTTCTGCATATCAAAGGCCGACGAACCCAATGACTAAAAATATAAGTACCTGACCCGGAGGATTAATCACACACTGTCAAGCTGAAATCGGTGCAATTCTTCCAATCATTAACGTTTTGCTTACAAAAATGTGCTTTTCTGTTTGTTTTTCTGCTAAATGATAACCATTTTCAAGTTGAATCTGCTGATAAAAGAGTCGAAAACAAGACGGGAGTTGTGCTGGAAAGGTCATACGTGCTAGTTCGGCATGAAGTAGCCAACGGGCAAACAAATAGGAAAAAGCGGTGTGGCACGGAAGCTTTTGCCGCACGGTGTAAAGTGCCTCGGCAGCTTTTCTCCCGCCGAGGACGCGATCGCCGGGCTGCGGGCAGCCCCTCGCGGGACCGGGATGTTGGGAGCGGGCTCCCGCGTCAGCCGCGGTTCTGTCCGCTGCCCACCCGCAGTGCGAGCTCCGCGGGGACCTGGGGCGTCGGCACGGAAATGTGCCAACCACCTGCCCGACACCCCGCAAATCCACAGCCCTGCTGGGCTCCGGGTGCGGTGAGAACCTTTCGGGGCGGGAGATCCCGCATCGCCCCGGTTGGAAATGGGGCTCCCGCGTCCCACGCGTGTTCCCGTCCCCGCGGGATGGAACGGCCGGTGCTGCCCTATCCCGGAGCGGCCGGGCTGCCCTGCTGGCGCTGCTCCGTGCCCGGTGTGACTCCAGCAGAGACCCGGCCCGAGGGGAAAGGGGCTGTGGGAATGCTTTGCACTGCCCACGGCGATGCTCCCACACGTGTCACGGCGGAGAACACTTGCCGGAGCCGAACAGCGGCAGCGGCGCCTCTCGCTTCGTGCGGTGTTTGCTCCGCTGTTACCCAGCTTTAGGGAGGCACGAACCCGCTGTGACGCGGCGCAGCGGCTCCTCGAGCCGAGGGGAGACTCCGCGAAGATCCCCCCTGCCCCCTTCCCCCGCCGCGTTTCGGAGAAAGGCCGATGGATCACCGCTGTTGACTCAGGCGGGTCAGCGGCTGCCCGGCTCCGGTCGATGCCCCGCGGACGCGCTCCTCCTCCCGCCCTCTCTCCCCGCGTTCCCCCGGACTCGCACGAAGCCAACACGCGGTAGAGAACCCAGGCGATAAAGCGGGACACGAAGCCGCGGGTAACGGCTCCCGGAGGGCAAAGCCCGGCTGTGGGCACCTGGGGGCTGTGCCAGGAACTGGGCAGCAGTGGTGCAGAGTTTCGTTTTATTTCAAACAAATCCATCAAAAATTAAATACCAGTTTTTGCTTCTTCTTCTTCTTCTTTTTTTTTTTTTAAACATTGAACCAATATGTACAAAATATGAACAACGTGAGGTATAAAACCGCAAAGACTTTTAAGGCAAACTGCTATGTACAGAAGCAGAGGAGGACACGCCAGGCACGGCTGCCCGCTGCCACGCTGCACCCTGCAGTGCCCTATCAGCCCCCTCATTTCCTTCTGAAATGGGAAATCTGGGGGACAGCACGACAGATTTGTCAAGGAAAAAAAACAGACTGGGTTGGTTTGATGTTTTGCTTTTAGGTTGTGGGTTTTGTTGTTTTTTGATTTTTTTTTTTCCCCTGCAAATGGAACCACACAGATTGCAGGGCAAAGTCCTCCAAAATGCAATGAGGGACATTTCATTCCATCAAGAGCAAAACTGAACGTGCCCACAGCTTCTGCCCAGTCCGGGGGGGGATCCCGCCGGGGGAGGCAGTGGCAGGTCTGTGTGGGGTAAGGCACTGTCGGGATGCTCCAATCCCTCTATACGGCACAGAATACATTTCTCTGCCTGAAAAAGGCACTTAAATTAATCCATGTAAAGCACATTCGTTTGCACACACTAAGGCACGGTCCTGCCCTCTGCGCTCCCCCACCACATCAGCTGGGGGTGGGAGGGGGTTCCCAGCAGCCAGAGATGGGCACAGCGCTGTGTCCCAGTCAGAGCACCAATCAATGTACACATAGATCTTATACAGTAAATACAAACCACCGATCAGTCCCTATAATCAAATCAGAGATCTGCCAAAAAACGGATCTTTTGCAGAACATACATCTTTTCTTTCTCAGATTATTACAGAACGAGTCCATTTGTGCTTCTTTGTCTTTCAGCGGAATGGTGAAAGTCCTCTCCCATCGTAACATCCTCCTTCCCGCAGTCCCGGGATAGCACAAGCCGAGCTTGGCTCCGTGCCCGCGGGCCGTCAGCGTGTGGCACTGTAGAAGCCTTTGTCTCCCTCGATGTCCACCTCCTGATCGGAGTCGTCAGAGACGTCGGACTCGGGGTCCTCCTGCGAGGCGGCCGAGGGGCTGTCCTGCGGCTCGGCCTCGCCTCCTCCAGCGGGGCTGGGGCTGCCCTCCGGTCGCGGGTCACCGTGATCGCTGGTGCCTTCCGCCTCCTCCTTTTTGGTGGCCTGGGGGTTCTCCTGCGGAGACAGAAAGTCGCTGGGTACGGAGCTACAGGGAAGCACCGCGGAGTTCTGTGTGGGAAGGGCTGAGTCCCGCGGGCTGAGCCTGCTCTTCAGCGACTGAATCTGCTCTTTAGCGAAGGGAATGTTTGGTGCGAGGCTCCAAACACTGCCCTGATCTGTCCTCAAGTACATGGCAATCCTCGTGGCATAAGGAGGGAGACCGAATTCATCAGTGGCTCAAGAGCAAATGGGAAGAAAAATATAATTAAGCTCTAAGGCCGTACCTTAAGGTGAAAACATGCACTATTAAAACATAAATCGAACCGAAGCCCATTGCCGAAACAAGAGCCCGTGGGCCCACTGTGGGGAAAGCAGGTGAAGATGCATGGCACTGCCACGTGTGTGGGGATGTGTGTGAGGTCACAGCACGGAGGGAGCAGCTGCGGGGCCGGGAGCTGCAGGCACTGCCGAGGAGCTCTGCTATGGACCGGCATCGAGTGTAAGAGGGAGGGGATCTGAGCCGAGGTGCTGTAAACCCGAGGCAAAGCCGCAGAACAAATTTCCTGCGTGCCCAAAGCAGGCCACGACTTGGGATTTTTTCCCAAGCGTTTGAGCTGAGGGCCCCGACCCGACTGAACTGGGCCATAAAAACAGAGCTCTGCCTTCAGCGCGGTCCGTAGGGGCGGAGGAACCGTGCAGCGCCCCGCATGGGGACCGTCCGCAAAGAGCCGTGGCTCTCCCCGCGCTGCCCCCGACGGGGGGTTGGGGTGGGGAGGTCACTGAAAGCGCCGTGGCCGTTCCCTTCCGACCCCACCGCCGGAGCGGTTCACCGTCCCTCGCTTATCTCCCCAGCGCTAATTGGCTAAACAACATATGGGTTTACAAAACAATTAGCGCCGAGTTGCAACGGGCGCGGTGTGAGGGCCGCCCGGCATTGACCCGGAGCCGCATTAAGAGCTTTTAGCATTAGTGCTGCCCGAGCGAGCCCCGTCGGGCCGCAGGGCGGTGTTTGCCGTTTTAATCAAGGTGAAGAGGTTAAACAGCGCCGGATGAGTGCTGCACACATCCCGCACCGGGCGCCGCGCCGAGATAACGCCATTAAACCCGTATTGCTATAGAAACGGAACCATCCCGTACCTGCTTCAGGCGCCTCCATTTGGCTCTGCGGTTCTGGAACCACGTTTTGACCTACGGCGGGAGAGAAAGGCACAGGGTAGCGCGGATCGGGCCGCAGGGACCCGCCGGCTGCGGAGAGCGGGGCTGGGCCTCACCTGGCGCTCGCTGAGCTGCAGCAGCTTGGCCAGGCGCTTCCTCTCGGGCGGGGAGAGATATTTCTGCGTCTCGAACTTCTTCTCCAGCTCGATGGTCTGCTCGTTGGAGAAGCGCACCTGCCCACCCTTCCTCTTATGCAGCGGCCGCTGGATGAAGGGGCTCCACAGCAGCGGCTTTCCTTCGGGGAGAAAAAGGGCAGCGCCGTCACCGCCAATCCCGGCCCCCCGACCCCCGGCCTCGCTCCCGGCCCCAACTTTCTCCTCCGCTTTCTCAGCCCCCTCGGAGCAGTGAGCGCTCAGAACCGCTCCACGGGCTCTGGCAGCGTTTCCGTCAATGTGTTTCCTGTTGGTCTATCGCGCAAAGAAAATACAGAGTAGAAGAAAAAAAAAAAAAAAAGCCCTTCGCTTCCTTCTGCTCTTTCGCTGCCGCGTGTCCCCTCCATCTCCCACCGGGACGGCCCGGGCCCGCATGCCCCAACGCCGCGCCGCGCTCCGGACCGGTGCCCACGGGGCGCCCCTGGGGGTCGGTCCCGGCCCGGCGTCGTTGGCCGCGGCCGAGGCATCGCCGCTGTCCCCTCGTCCGCCGCCCGCAGCCTTTGAAATTCGCTGCATTGTTTTTCAAGATTTTTGCTTGCGTCAGGCTTTAGTAATTCTGGTGCAAAACAGCCTCAAAAAATAGGAAGCAACTGGTTATTTTAGCTGTCATAAAGGCACATCCCACACAGAGGAAATGAACAATATCAGAAAAACGGATCCCGGCTATCAGAAGCCGAGTGTTTCCTGAATTTGTCTGTATTGAGGATGTCGATAAAGTAATCAGCGCCGTGCACGACTCCCGGGGAAGAGCCTGCTCCGGGCGGCCAGGAAAACACTTAACAGCTTCTGAAACCAGATTTACTCCTATCGAGAGCTCAAGGTTTCCTGTATGAACGGAAAGGGTCAGGCTCCTTCGCTGCTGCGGTGCGGTGACTCAAGGCGCGTTTTGCAATCACTGAGGGCAGCGCGGGCCCCGCACCGGGACGGCCCCCCCCGACTCCCACCCGCGAGCCACGGGGCCGGGAGCGGGGCCGGTGCGGGCGGCATTGGGACTCATCGGCAGGAAAAGGCCGCGATCTGCCGCGCGATCTCTCGGCACAATTAAAACTCCCCACCAAAACCACACGCGACATTACTAAGGACACTCTGAGAGGCGCTCGGTTGAAGGAAAACAAATCTGAGTCACCGCGGCCGCGCACTGCGGTCTCGCTCCTAACGCGGAGCTGCCCTGAATTTACTGTAAAGCGGGCGGGGGCCGAGGGGGTCGGGGCTGAGCTGCGCCGCTTCCCCGACGGCGGCACGGCACGGGATGAGACGGGACGGGATAGGGACCGGGCGGGGAGGGGGGGCCGCGGCTTACCCAGGGGGTCCTGGCGGATCAGTGCGTGCGTGTAGTCGCCGACGGCGCGGGGAAAGGAGTAGAGGGGCCCGGCGTAAGCGCCGGTGCCGTAGGTAGCGGCGAGGTGGTGGGAGAAGGCCGGGTGGATGGGGGTCGGCTCGTAGACGGGGGTCCGGTACGGGGCCACCAGGCTGGTGAAGGAGGAGTTGGGCGACGGCAGCGTCGGCGGCGGCGGGGCGGGCAGGGAGTGGGGGGCCGGCGCGGCGGCGGGGCCGCGGCCCAGGATGTCCTCGATGTAGAAGGGCGTGGGGTGCGCGGGCTGCAGCAGCGGCGTGGGCGCGTACAGCGGGACGCCGACGCCCAGGGCCGCCGCCGGAGCCGCGCCCGGCGCCTGGTACTGCATGGCGCGGCCCCCCCGGCCCGCCGCGGCCCGGCCGCCCCTCGGAGAGCGGCCCCGAGCGCGGCCGCCGGCTGCTGCCACCGCCGCCGCGGGTTTCTCCGGGCTCGGGTTCCCCTCCGATAGGTTTCTATCGGCGCGGGGCGGAGCCCGCGTGGTCTCTGTCCCCTTCCTGCCGCGGCTCCGTCTAGCCAATGAGCCCGGCCAGGGAAGGGGGAAACCACCCCCGCCGGCGAAAGCTCCCCCCCGCCTCCCCCGAGCGGACTCCCCGCGGCGCCAATCAACGCGAGCCGGGCCCCGACGGTACCGAGCGGGCACCCGGGGTGGGCGGGCGGCACGGCGCGCTCCTCCGGCACCGGGCCCAGATTTCGGGCGTCCCGCGGGGCGATCCTCCCACCCGCCCCGCAGCCTGGCCCGGCTCCGGGTGACAGAGGAGGCGGATGAGGGGGTGAGCGGGCACGCGGACTCGGTACTCCTCGGGCACCCACTGCCGCTGAGTGAGAGGTAGCGGCGGCGGAGCCCCCGACAGGGCGGACGAGGCGCTGGAAGCGGCTCCCCGCGCACCGGAGGGAAGGAGGCAGTGCGAGGCGGCCGCTCGCCCTCCTCCGGCAGCGCCAAACCCCACAGAGCCGCCCCGGGGAGCGCCCCGACGAGGGAGCGGGTCGGCAGCAGGTGTCCTCCTCTCTCCGCCTGGTTGACAGCGAGCGCAGAGAGCTGCTAAGGAACAGCAGGTGCTGCTTTTACACACACACACATATATAAATATATATATATGCTTCCCTCCCCCCCACCCCCAAACCCACGAAGTTCTTAATAAGTAAGAGTCTGGGAGCGAGACGAAAGGGTGTTGTGGAAATGGAAATATATATATATTTTAATAATATCAGGAGGTTGGATTTTTTTCTTTATGTTGTTAACAAATGCCAAAACTCACCTTTAAAGCGCGGTCTTGTGTCTTGTAAATATCAGGTACACGTCAAGCGGGCTGACAGTTCTGATTATTTTTTCTCTCCGCTCCCGGTCTCCGAGGCATTGCTCCGTCCAAGGGGGTTGGTTAGCTCATGGCTGGGCTGGAAGTGTTGGATTTGCAGCTCGGAGCACTTAATGGGGGCGCGGGAGGCGCTGACCCGCTGCCCTCCGCGGGGCGTTACGGTCTGTGCTTCCCAACGCTGAGAACAAATTTAAGCCGAAAAAAAAATGAGAAAAAGAAAGAAAGAAAAAAAGGCAAAAATCCGTGTTTTGCTGTATTATTTGAAAACAAATAAATAGAGGAAGAGATTATTCTTTTCTGACTTTTATACCAGCAACAGGCCTTGTTAAAGGGAAGGTTTAATGGCGCGGTTATTACATTCCACTCCCACTGCATAATCCCCAACAAGGAAAATGAAGCACTTAATTTCGCGGCCCCGCAGCACCGCCCCGCTCCGATCCAATTGTTACCCCTTCGCCTTCCTCCTCCCGGCCCGGAGACTATTAAATCGCATTCATGAAAATGTCACATTTATTGAACTACATAATTTTTTAATATCACTAGTGCAGGTTTTATAGTTGATTTTATTGTTTTTACGGCCATTCGGGGCTCTAAAACCCGGATTTTTTCAATGTTGTCCTTATAATTTTTTTCACACAGTCAGAACCAATAAAATGGAGCAGTTGTGACTTTTTAATGCAAGAGGGCTCGGAGTTTCAATATTTTCACTCTGCTGGATACTCAAACCAATAAAAATACATGAGATTTTAATTATTTTCTGGATTAAATCAAACCTTTTCCCTTTCTTTTTGGAACTGCGTTGTGTTGGACTTTCCGTCGGGAGGGACACAGCGCAGCTCCGGGCGGAGCGCTGCGGTCCCAACGCTGCGACGAACGCGGAGCGCCCGCGGTGTCACCGAGCGGTCCGCAGCCTCCAGGGACGGGGCGTCCGCACCGAGGTTATTTCTCCTCGGCGGTCCCTGTGCGGAGCACGGCATTTCCTCGGAGAGAGGGAGAAAAAGAAATGAAAATTAAAAAACTTTTCCCATTCTTTTTCCCAGCTCGCTCGCTGAGTCGAGAACTGCTGGGGGGGCGGGGTGGGGTGGAAGGCGAGGACACGGGGCATCCCCTCACCTCGGCCCGAAGGGAGCGCCTGGAGAACTCATTAGTACTGTAATAACGACGGGTTTCTGTCCTGCCGATCGCTCTCTGCGAAATCCCCTTCGAGGGGCTCCTAGCTGAGGGAACGAGCAAAAAACGAACTTAATAAAACAAATCCGGGCCCCTCTTCCTCTTCGCCGTCTCTGCCGGCCCTGACTCAACTACCTGGACCCTCCTGTCGGGGTCGGGAGCAGCATCGCGCTGCCCGGAGCCACGGGGACCCTCCCGCCGGGCTGCCCCTTTGTGTCACGGCTCTGGAGCTGAGGGGCGCGGGCGGCCCTGCCCTGCCGTGCTCTGCCGTGCCCGGGAGTCCCGCCGTGCTGCAATGGGTGGAGGGATACCGCCAACATGGCAAAGATGAACAGACAAATAAAATCTGACAAAAGATCCATGGAGTGTACAAACCAAACACCTAACATCGGAGCATCGGGAATGCGGAGCTCCTGAAGGTGGCTGCAGCCTCCAGGCAGTGCTCTCCACAGCTCCCTGCACTCAATTACCTGCAGATGCCCCCCAGAAGATTTCTGATTCATGCGGTTGTCTTTGCAGACAACAAAGAAACTGCAATTTATAGGAGCAGTGGGTCCAGGAGCACAGAATGCCCAGCTCACCCCATTCATTCAGTTGCCACTGGCGTGGTTTTCTGGAGTGAGACTTGCCCGGCTTCTGCTCTCAGAAATGGGAGTTTGCCCATAACAGCACTCTTAGTGATACTGTGGGACCAGAGAGTAATCACCCCAGCCAAAATAACCATGTAGGGCTGTGCAAAATTTGCAGGCAGTGCAGCAGAGCCCATCTCCCAGTGCTACCTGGCACTTTCCAGGAGGATCCCGCCCTCAGCCATTCCAACCCTTCCCATTATTGAAGGCATTGCAAGCTGCTTCCAAGAGAGGTGAGGCCGCAGCCTTGAGCCCCATCCAAGGAGGAAATAGGAGGGAGATCACCTCTCTGATTTTCCTAGCACCATGGCAGCCAGACAGCTTCAGACAGCAGCACCACGTGTTGTGTGGTGATGTCAGCCTTCATTCCATCTTCCAGATCTCTCATCTGGTAGACATTCACCTCTCACATCTCCTCCTCACCATTTACCAATGAATGCAACCATGACAAGCATCAGGCAGGTTAAAATATTCATTAGCTGTAGCAAAACAACATTAGTTGAATAATAGGAGATTAATTAGTTGTAGCAAAATAAGACAAATCTTGGTCAAAAAGCAGTGGACAACATGTGAGTTGTTGCTGCAGGCAGAGCTGGCAGGGGCTTATCATTTTCCATCCTATACGTCTACGTTCATCTAATCATGATTTATGCCAAATCCAAATCTTTTGGGTGGAAAAATTTCTCTTCTGGGGAAATTTGCCTCATGCTAAGGATTTGTAAGGTCTCAGCAAAACTGGCTCAGCAGTTTTTAAGCATTAGGTCAGAGGAAAACAAATCCCCTTGCCAACATATAGATATCCTTGCCTTGTACTGGGAACCCATGGTGCCCCACCACTGGGTAACCTCAGGAGAATGAAGCATGCAGCCAGGTGTTGCCTTTGGTTCCTGTTTTGCTCCTCCAACTGTGGCTGTGGGCTCTGGGTAGCAAAAAGAAAATCCCAAGCCTTTATAGAGAAAACCATCTGTAACGTCTGCATCCTGACTTTTTGATGGCTTGGAGGGCTACTCCTGCTTGGCACTGGAGGTCTATGGGTATGAGCCATGCTGCTACCAGCGAGTGTCTCTTTCCTATACACTGTCACCAATGCTGTGAAAATAAATAAATTTAAAAGGCTCAGAAAAGCTTTAATGGTGCTTTGAGTCTTGTCAAAGATTTCCAACCAACATATGGCAGATCCTCGGGGAGTATGTGGGTAAGGTGCCTCCATTTCCTCCTGCCCCTGATAGCACCACATTAATACCTCTGCTGGGACACCTTCATGCTACAGAGTGGGATATGCAGCATTTATGGCTCTGAGGTGGGAGGAAGAAACACATGGCCCTGCTCCATAAACATACCTTCATAATGCTTTCTTTCTGGGCTGTCCCAATGACTGCAGTGATACAGGCTTCTCTAAACCAGAGTCACAATCCAATTCTGCCCAATGGAACAGAAATCACTTTTTCTGAGCTGCAAAGAGACATTCTGGGAAACTCCATGGGCTGCAATGTTTTTTGCAACCCTTCTTTGGCCCAAAGAGTTTTTTTTATCTGACCGGTATGAGAATGCGGTGAGCAACGCTATGAAAAACAGAGCAATATATCGCTCCTTACAGGCTCATATTTCTGTGTATCTGCCACCACAAAACATGGGCTATTCTGGCTCCTGTTTGTGAGTGCAACTGACAGCTCTGTGGTTCGTTCTATTTATTTGGGGTGATGGCAGCCACAGCATGTTAAAACTTCTCTATATTCTCATGCGTTGGCTACACGCACCAAGATTACACCCAAAAACACACACAATTCCCAGGGGCTAGATTCCCTCTTACATCTTGCACAATCCTTTACGTAAGTGCAAACTGACTGCAAAGTACTGCTAACACAGACTGCTGGCTGCTGTACACCCACTCCGTGTTGATGTAAATGCCCGTAACAAGAGAACAGACAATGGAGAATCTGCTTAAACTACAGTGTTGACAACACATCTTTTTTTTTATGGAGTAATCAGACTACAAGCTATTGGGCTTTTCAAATAGGAGTTGAGTTTCAGCGGGTCCAAAGTACACACAGCTAAATTTGATGTCGGTAGGAATTAGGTATGAATAGGGAGTGTTACTTGGTTATTTTTGTTAATGTTTTCCAGAGCTCACACATTCGCTCTACATTTTTTAGCCAACTTTATCATTTTGGCATCATGAAATCAGTCCCCAGGAAGGTTTGTTTTATCTGGAGCTGATA